TTTTGAAAACATAATTGCCTGAAACATAAAGAAATGCCGTCTAGTGTTTTGTCACGGATTCAAAAACTATTTAGACTTTAGAGGGTTTTATTTATTTTGCAAGCCATACTGGCATTGTTTAATAACAGCTGTGCTCACTGCCTCTTTCTTCCTTTGAAGTGTGCGTGTGCCGACTGCCGGTAATTAGCTTACAATAATCACTGTAACACTCACTGTAACACTCACTGTAACACTCACTGTAACACTGTAACACTGTAACAATAACTAAAACACTGACTGTAACACTGTGACAATGGCTGTAACACTGTAACACTGACTGTAACACTGTAACACTGGCTGTAACACTGACTGTAACAATGTAACTCTGCCTGTAACGCTGAATTACTCACTGTAACACTGTAACTCTGCCTGTAACGCTGAATTACTCACTGTAACACTGTAACTCTGCCTGTAACGCTGAATTACTCACTGTAACACTGTAACACCGTTACAGATCGGTAGACCAGCGGACGTCTCTGGAAACACCAGTGTACCAGAAGATATAAGAGACAGAATATCTGAGTCCCACGCTGGATACCGGAACAACACTTTCCACAAGTAATAAACAGATTTTTTAATCATTAATTTCGAAAAATTAAATTTAAACATCCTTCAAACCGGATCAATGACTCGATAAAAATCATCGATGAATAGATATTCTTGAAAATTCTCCTAAAATTGAAAATGTGGGGACTAGACATGAAAACTTCTATTATAACTACTTTTGTTCAGGTCGATGTGTGTGGTGAGCGGGTACGCTTACAACGTGTTGATCCGGGTCACAAGTCTTACAGTTCTCCTACTCAGTTAGTATATATTACTCAATTAGTATATATTACTCAATTAGTATATATTATTCAATTAGTATATATTACTTAATTAGTATATATTACTTAATTAGTATATATTACTCAATAGTATATATTACTCAATTAGTATATATTACTCAATTAGTATATATTACTCAATTAGTATATATTACTCAATTAGTATATATTACTCAATTAGTATATATTACTCAATTAGTATATATTACTCAATTAGTATATATTACTCAATTAGTATATATTACTAATTGAGTAATGTTTAACATACCAGTCCACATTGTAGGATTCCTACTAGGAAGCTTCTATTATGTACCACTACTATACGTGTAGAGTGTAGAGTGTAGATTGTAATATTTACAAGCTACTAGCAGTAGTTGTAGATAGTAAATATTACCAACACTTACACATACTTGCAATTATAATTAAAAATAAACCACCCCCAAGGTATTGACCGAACTCACGCCATCTACTTCCCTCTGACGTACGGGCGGGCGTTCTATTACTCAGTATACAAATACTGTATCTACATCATATGGGCGTTTGCTTTAGGTAGGAGGGTTTAATAATCTCTTAAAGTCAACCTTAATCTGTCCCAGCGATATGCACTTTAAATTTAGAGTTAATCGAGTTTGCCTTACATGATTGTAGTGGTAGTGGAGACTGGAGAATTGAAGAATGCAGTTATTTAAGTTCATCTCATTACTTTGTCAGGTATACAGGCATTGCCCTTTCTAGCAGGGATTCCTTACGTGGAACAGTACACCAGGGAGCTGATGTGTTCTTGGAGCATTATTCAGGTATTATACACCAGGGAGCTGATGTGTTCTTGGAGCATTATTCAGGTATTATACAGGGAGCTGATGTGTTCTTGGAGCATTATTCAGGTATTATACACCAGGGAGCTGATGTGTTCTTGGAGCATTATTCAGGTATTATACAGGGAGCTGATGTGTTCTTGGAGCATTATTCAGGTATTATACAGGGAGCTGATGTGTTCTTGGAGCATTATTCAGGTATCATACAGGGAGCTGATGTGTTCTTGGAGCATTATTCAGGTATTATACACCAGGGAGCTGATGTGTTCTTGGAGCATTATTCAGGTATTATACACCAGGGAGCTGATGTGTTCTTGGAGCATTATTCAGGTATTATACACCAGGGAGCTGATGTGTTCTTGGAGCATTATTCAGGTATTATACACCAGGGAGCTGATGTGTTCTTGGAGCATTATTCAGGTATCATACAGGGAGCTGATGTGTTCTTGGAGCATTATTCAGGTATTATACACCAGGGAGCTGATGTGTTCTTGGAGCATTATTCAGGTATTATACACCAGGGAGCTGATGTGTTCTTGGAGCATTATTCAGGTATTATACACCAGGGAGCTGATGTGTTCTTGGAGCATTATTCAGGTATTATACACCAGGGAGCTGATGTGTTCTTGGAGCATTATTCAGGTATTATACAGGGAGCTGATGTGTTCTTGGAGCATTATTCAGGTATTATACAGGGAGCTGATGTGTTCTTGGAGCATTATTCAGGTATTATACACCAGGGAGCTGATGTGTTCTTGGAGCATTATTCAGGTATTATACACCAGGGAGCTGATGTGTTCTTGGAGCATTATTCAGGTATTATACAGGGAGCTGATGTGTTCTTGGAGCATTATTCAGGTATTATACAATAGGGAGCTGATGTGTTCTTGGAGCATTATTCAGGTATTATACAGGGAGCTGATGTGTTCTTGGAGCATTATTCAGGTATTATACACCAGGGAGCTGATGTGTTCTTGGAGCATTATTCAGGTATTATACACCAGGGAGCTGATGTGTTCTTGGAGCATTATTCAGGTATTATACACCAGGGAGCTGATGTGTTCTTGGAGCATTATTCAGGTATTATACAGGGAGCTGATGTGTTCTTGGAGCATTATTCAGGTATCATACAGGGAGCTGATGTGTTCTTGGAGCATTATTCAGGTATTATACAGGGAGCTGATGTGTTCTTGGAGCATTATTCAGGTATTATACACCAGGGAGCTGATGTGTTCTTGGAGCATTATTCAGGTATTATACAGGGAGCTGATGTGTTCTTGGAGCATTATTCAGGTATTATACAGGGAGCTGATGTGTTCTTGGAGCATTATTCAGGTATTATACAATAGGGAGCTGATGTGTTCTTGGAGCATTATTCAGGTATTATACAGGGAGCTGATGTGTTCTTGGAGTATTATTCAGGTATTATACAGGGAGCTGATGTGTTCTTGGAGCATTATTCAGGTATTATACACCAGGGAGCTGATGTGTTCTTGGAGCATTATTCAGGTATTATACAGGGAGCTGATGTGTTCTTGGAGCATTATTCAGGTATTATACAGGGAGCTGATGTGTTCTTGGAGCATTATTCAGGTATTATACACCAGGGAGCTGATGTGTTCTTGGAGCATTATTCAGGTATTATACACCAGGGAGCTGATGTGTTCTTGGAGCATTATTCAGGTATTATACAGGGAGCTGATGTGTTCTTGGAGTATTATTCAGGTATTATACAGGGAGCTGATGTGTTCTTGGAGCATTATTCAGGTATTATACAGGGAGCTGATGTGTTCTTGGAGCATTATTCAGGTATTATACACCAGGGAGCTGATGTGTTCTTGGAGCATTATTCAGGTATTATACACCAGGGAGCTGATGTGTTCTTGGAGCATTATTCAGGTATTATACAGGGAGCTGATGTGTTCTTGGAGCATTATTCAGGTATTATACACCAGGGAGCTGATGTGTTCTTGGAGCATTATTCAGGTATTATACAGGGAGCTGATGTGTTCTTGGAGCATTATTCAGGTATTATACACCAGGGAGCTGATGTGTTCTTGGAGCATTATTCAGGTATTATACACCAGGGAGCTGATGTGTTCTTGGAGCATTATTCAGGTATTATACACCAGGGAGCTGATGTGTTCTTGGAGCATTATTCAGGTATTATACAGGGAGCTGATGTGTTCTTGGAGCATTATTCAGGTATTATTCAGGCATTGTTCAGGTATCAGAGTAAATAATAGGCATCTTACCACGGCTGAGTAGTGGTTAATTTATTTAACTTGGTAACAGGATCTTAGTTCCCCAGTAACATTCATCTTTGGCTTCGTTCCAATCAAGTGGGGTAAAGTTAGCTGATTAGCTATATAAGATCGATTACTTTCAAATTCAACCGTTGGTACTAATATTTGAGTTTTCTAGTTGCGATTGAGTTATTATAGGTTACCTCACTTTAAAAAATATAATAAATATCTAGCTCCTCTTACCTCACTACATAAAGGGCAGGTTTTCGAAAATTGGGAAGGAAGGGACATATTATCATAATTTGTGATAATTAAATGGTGCCAGCTGGCTGTGTTTTACTTGTGGGTTGTCGGCGCGGAGAAATCAGAAAGCTAATTTAAAATATTAATTGCTAAAAGTTATTGTAGATTTTAATGTGGCCAAGCAAAAACGCAAAAAAATTCCGGGGCCCAGCTCCAAATGCCCAAGAACTGGCTATGTGCTTACTTCTCTCGCCGTGCTAGCCGACCATGTCATCTTTCTTCAATTTGACAAGTCCCCATAGGGTAGAATTTAAATGCAACTGAAGCTAATTATGCTCTGGTATACATGAAAGTTACTGGGCGGCACTCAGCCTGTCATTCCACCGAATCTCGATTCGGCGGATGTTTATGAACATTATAGCCTGGGGTCCCCAGGTAAACATGAAAGTAGCTGACTAAAATGTAAATGCCTCGACCCGTTGGGGCAAAGCCCGCCGAAGGCGAAGCTTCATTTAGGGCTAGACGCCCCTCTAAATGCCCTCTTTTAGGATATTTTTCTCTGTTGGTCAGTTATAGGTGACCGATATTCATGATGATAAAATCTGTCCAACTTTACTGAAAAGGCACCTGGAAGTCTGATAGTAGAGTTACAAGTCTGCTACTGTGCAGTTGAAGTAATTTGTGTCATGTCCACTGTCCTTGAAGGAACACTCTAAAACAGCGTTATGATTGGTGATAACAGGCTGATCAGGCTGATAACAGGCTGATAACAGGCTGATCAGAATGTCAGTTAAAGCTGATCTGTTAAAATAGGGTAAAATACCCAAGAACATAAAAATACCTATTTATATTGATCGGAATGTCAGTTTAATAAACGCTCGTTCAGATAAAACGTAATAAAAATATCATTACAGTTGCTAGGAATATCCCCCGGTGACATCCAAAACAACAGACTGCAGATCTTCTTCCCCTACTTCATCTTGGTAGATGTGCCCCTTCTCATACCCACCATCGTATCAGTTTTCCTTTCCTTCGCTGTTCTCTTCAAAATTATGTATAAACGCTACCAATACATCACGTAAGTCAATGTTCAGCTATCTGTTCATAATTCTGTCTCGGTTACCTTACAATTATTTATCTTATTGTATGTTATTGTATGTGTGAGAAATGATCAGATACCTTAAATACCTATTTTATATTTTCAGTGAGAAACAAAACCAGTTGGTGTTATCAACTTCGGTGCAGTTAAACAAGTGTTCCAACATGAGCAAGCTCCGGGCAGCTATAATGTGAGTTTTTTTCTCTTTTTTTCTACGCTTTACCTGCGTTGTTTGTAAACGAAACAAACCCAAAAAACAAATCAAGAATTCCCGACTTTCAAATTCATCCTGTAACAATATTCTTTGCTCAGGTGGACAAAGGTGGATAACCACAAGGTAAAATCACTGACGCGAGCAAGTTGCACCATGTTAATAATAGTTCTCAGCTACACAATCTTCTACAGCTACACCTGGTTTATCTGTATAGCTAACACTCTGGTACTTCTCGGTGCTCAGGTACGTGGTTACAGACAAGTCGTTCATTTCTAGATCACCTGGTCAATTTATAGGTCACGTGGTCAATTTATAGATCACGTGGTCAATTTATAGATCACGTGGTCAATTTATAGGTCACGTGGTCAATTTATAGGTCACGTTGTTTCTGCAGTTGTTTCTGTTCTAATATTTAGTCGTGAGGAGACATTTTTGGTCAAATTGTGTGCCATGGTAGGTCGAGTGGTAAAATACTAGTTGGAGCTGAAATTCGAGTTGAAACAGGTTAGCATCTTATACAGCATGTTATAAGTTCACTTGTCGCAACAACCGGGATAAAGATAATTTTACACAGAATACATAGTAGTATACTTATAATTATAAATCTGAATACTGGGTAGGTGATGACACGTGATAGTGATTCTGAGTTTTGATTGGGTCACCAGATCCCAACCAGAATCCATATCTAACACAATGGCGTAGCTAAGGGCCCCGCTGACCCCGCTGTGCAGGGGGCGCCAAATCGTCGTTTGAATGTGGGACAATTTCGAAAACTTAACTAAAGTATTAGCAAAACTGCGCGTTTTGCTCTAGATACACACTTTTTTAGAGATTTTACCGGCGTATCCTCTAAAACCTAATTTGTTCAATTTTAGGGAGGGTGGAGGGTCACCAAAAGGGGAGGAGGCGCCAACAGGTGGGCGCCTTTTCGGCGGGGGGGGGGGGGGGGGGGGCGCCAACAGGCAACGTTACGCCACTGATCTAACACCAAGCGTAATTTAATTCATGAAGCTATGAATTTCATTGAAACCATTCAAGAAGGATTCTCAATATGATATGATGATACTATTACACTAGTGATACAATAATACTGTTTAGTTATACTAATCTCCTAACTTTACTTCAGCTCCCCTCATTTAGCAAGATGACAACAGATCGCGCCTGGATGTACATCTCCAACTCATTCCACATCACCGTGTTTTTCCAGTCAGCACTGACGCCCTTCATCGTGTACTACCGTGTCATTGCTAACTTTTCTGCGTCTGGTCAAGGTGGCAAGTCGACCACCGTGAAACACAGGACAAACAATTCCGACCATCATGTCAATAATCAGAAAATGGTGAACTCAAAGAATAAGAATGGACGGAGTTGTGATTATGTGCCGGATAAAAATCAAAATGGAAAGGAACAGAAGTTTGTATGATAGTTTAAGTTTCCTTTCATGTTGTTTTTAAGCTGTGTTTTCTTTCATTCCTTCCACTGCATTATTGGAAGATCTGACAGTGACCACAAATTTGCCGTTCGATTTTATGATCTTTGTTCATATAACAACTCACATAATTCAAAAAATGTGGTTAAATTGATTAAACTCAAATTTATATGCGACATTTTAACAAGGTCTGGTTACAAATAATAAAACAAATAATTCATAGCTTTTAAGGTTTAGTTCATTTTTAAAGTCTAGTTCATTTTTAGAGTCTAGTTCATTCTTACTTGATTATTGTTGGTTAAGCTTAGGCTGTTTAGGTTTTTGGTCGAGTGTTATCGGGATAACTTCTGTAGTGGATGTACAGCAATACTAAGGTGATGTAAATAGGACTACTGCGGACCCTCTACCGGCCAAACCTTTTCAACAAAGCCGCACTCCGCAGTCATGGGTTCGGTGAACGGTAGCTAAAAGCGCGCTAAAAAAAGGTTTTTGTCGGACGTGTATTATTCGAGTGGAAGTTATCAGACAGAAACCTCAGTTAATCATTTAGAATTTTATTTATTTACCAGTGTTCAGTGAAACTGAAATGTTCTAATTTCCTAGAGAGTGATCATCGAAATTTATGAAATTATGACAAATTATTTGTCATAATTTCATAGTAATACAGATTATTGCTGTAATAGAATTGTTCATATCGAAATGAAGCGAGCGACAGATCACTTGAAAAAATATATTTATTGCCAGCCAATTTCGATTGTTTCCATTATAATTAGCAATGTAAATTATGAATAAAAAATTACGTTCTTTAATACTGAACAATGAAACCACAGTATTGTAATGGAAATTAATATAATTATGTTCACAAAAACATACTTTCGCTGAATTCTAAGACAGAATGACTGCGGGAATTATAGAATATATTCCGGGAATACCCTGAATTATAAAAACTTACCGAAAACATTTGTTGTAATCACTGAACAGAGTCTGAGCACTGCTTGGGTAATAAAACTAAACTTTTTTAACCATCCAAATCTATGCAATTTACAAATGGACGACACAAGTTGCTCAGACAACACAGTGAAAAGGAAAGATTTCAAACTCTAGAGGAATTTCTTAATTCTTTCACGGTTAATATCTTAAATAATAGATAGGAATTTTAAGGAGTTAACTTGTGGCGTCCCAATGTCATATTAGTGATCGCAGTTCTGTTGAAAAAATAAATAAATTGTTTGATGTATAACAATCTTTTAGTTTTACATTATTGTAAATGGTAAATGTATTTGTTCCGCTGGAAGTATTTTAAGTTAAATCTTGTTTTAATTTGTTTCAAAATACTTCATCGATCTAAATAAAAGGGCAAGTTTCCATAACTAATTTTTTGTGATCAGCGGTAATAACCGCTTTTTTTACGCTAAAAAAGCGCTTATTGATAAAACCCACCGTTATTTGGCGATTATAAAGCGATTATAAACGGTCCCGTTAATAAACGGTTAAAAACGATTATAATCGCTTTTTCCATAAAATATTTTTGCAAAAGCGATTATTAGCGCTTTAAAAGCGATAATAAATCGCGAATTAAAATTATTAGTGATAAAAAAACGCTTTTATTTTAGGGTTGTCGATTATTATCGCTCCGTAAGCGCTTTTCAAAAAAACGCTTATAAACCGTTTTTTGGACCGTTTTTAAAACGCTTTTAATCGACTATAAGCGATTATATTCACTAGGGAAAGTTCCAAATTAAAAAGCGCCTACTAATCGTTAAAAAAACGCTTTTTTATTTTAAGTTAATAAGCGGTTTAAATCGATTATAAAACGATTATAAGCGACAATAAGCGATTTTTTGAAATCTGCTAAAAAGCGATATTTTCACTATGATCAGCGCTTATAACCGCTTTTCTTGAAATTTTCCTACTGAAAAGCGTTTATAAGCGCTTATTTATTTGCTGTCTATAAGCGATTATAAACGATTATAAGCGCTTTTTTACGTATTTGAAACGAGGAAAAAATTGTCAGGTACGAGATATTATAAGCGATTATAAGTGATTATAAAGTATCGTAAATGTTATTGTCTTCAATTGTCGCTTATAAGCGATTATAAACGATGAAAAGCGCTTTTTGACGCATTTTAAAACTATGATCAAAATATGTTTTGATTTGATTTATTTGGGGTATATAAGCGATTATGTAAGCGGGGTATATAAGCGATTATAAACGATTATGAGCGCTTAATTTTTTACGTATTTGGAACGAGGACACAATTAACAACAAAATTACGCGATATTATAATAATAGTCCAGTTATTAATGGACATTTATGGAAATAAACCTGCAAATTTTCAGATACTCAAGAAACTTTGCACAGACCTTCCAAAAGGTATGAATAAACGATTTTCGGTTGGAGACATTTTTTTACCATGGGGAAAACCCAGGAGGGCCACGCCCATATTGATCCAATAATGTAACTGACCCTTTGCTTCTGAAAGTCGTAGAGACTTCAAAATAGGCTTAAACGAAGCCGCATATATGCATGTTTATATAGAAGTTATTGATCAACACATGGCCTAAAATCCTTACTTTTCGAGAAATTCGCCAAAAACCATTTTGGGCGTGGCGCTGAGCCCATTTTACTAACTTTTGATATGATCGTGATAGAGTCTTCGGATAGAGTGCAAAAGAACCGCAATTGGCATATTTATATATAACTTATGAAGAAACATGTGCTTTAAAGTGCTTACTTTTTCAGTTATTGGCGAAAAACTGATTTTCGGTTCCAGAAATCATGCAAAAATATGGGTATCTGGTAAATTGGGCTATGAAGGCCCTAGAGATTTTTGAATGGGTGCAAATTGTGCAAAATGGCCATGTTTATATACAACTTATGAAGCAATATGTACCCTAAAATGCTCACTTTTCGAGTTATTAACATAGAACGGGAGGCAAAAATGGCTGATATAACCAATTTTGCTCTATTTCATAAAAATTTTCTCTGGTTTTCCCCCAAATAACTCGAAAAGTGAGCATTTTAGGGTACATATTGCTTCATAAGTTGTATATAAACATGGCCATTCTGCACAATTTGCACCTATTCAAAAATCTCTATGGCCTTCATAGCTCAATTTACCAGATACCCATATTTTTGCATGATTTCTGGAACCGAAAATCAGTTTTTCGCCAATAACTGAAAAAGTAAGCACTTTAAGGCACATGTTTCTTCATAAGTTATATATAAATATGCCAATTGCGGTTCTTTTGCACTTTGTCCGAGGACTCTATCACGATTATATCAAAAGTTAGCAAATTGGCTCAGCGCCTCGCCCAAAATGGTTTTTGGCGAATTTCTCGAAAATTAAGGATTTTAGGCCATGTGTTGATCAATAACTTCTATATAAACATGCATATATGCGGCTTCGTTTAAGCCTATTTTGAAGTCTCTACGACCTTCAGAAGCAAAGGGTCGGTTACGTTATTGGGTCAATATGTGCGTGGCCCTCCTGGGTTTTCCCCATGGTAAAAAAATGTCTCCAACCGAAAATCGTTTATTCATACCTTTGGGAAGGTCTGTGCAAAGTTTCGTGAGTATCTGAAAATTTGCAGGTTCATTTCCATAAATGACTGGACTATAAGCGATTATAACTATAAGGTATTATAAATGACATAGCTCGGCGCGCTCATACTAAATCGCTCGCCCAAATTTTAAGAAAATTCTTGTGAAAAGGCCCTTTGGGTATGAAATTGATCTGAATCGATGTATTTTTGGACGCTAATTCCGAATCGCCCCCCATGACGTAGGGTAAAAATGCTTCCCTGGAGAGTTATAAGCAAAAAAAACCGTTTTGGTCACGTGACAGGCTAGTAAAACATGAATTCTAGGAAAGCTTGGGATTTTTTGCACATCTGCCAATATTTTCGCAGCAAATTGGAAATAAAAGATATATCTTTTGCCGTCATGACGATAATTTGCGTTTTGATTTTTAATAATTTGCGTTTTGATAAATTACAACCGCTTCTTAATCTTGAGTTAATTACATTTGTTTCACTATATGTTATATGGAAATATATGGTTACACTGTACACATTGACATAATATTTAGCGATCTATCTTAATCCTTGTTGCCAGAGAACTGAAAGTTTGCAACCACAAAAATTGTACAACGATGATAAGATGTTGGTAATAAGGAGAAGGAGAAGGAGAAGGAGAAGGAGAAGGAGAAGGAGAAGGAGAAGGAGAAGGAGAAGGAGAAGGAGAAGGAGAAGGAGAAGGAGAAGGAGAAGGAGAAGGAGAAGGAGAAGGAGAAGGAGAAGGAGAAGGAGAAGGAGAAGGAGAAGGAGAAGGAGAAGGAGAAGGAGAAGGAGAAGGAGAAGGAGAAGGAGAAGGAGAAGGAGAAGGAGAAGGAGAAGGAGAAGGAGAAGGAGAAGGAGAAGGAGAAGGAGAAGGAGAAGGAGAAGGAGAAGGAGAAGGAGAAGGAGAAGGAGAAGGAGAAGGAGAAGGAGAAGGAGAAGGAGAAGGAGAAGGAGAAGGAGAAGGAGAAGGAGAAGGAGAAGGAGAAGGAGAAGGAGAAGGAGAAGGAGAAGGAGAAGGAGAAGGAGAAGGAGAAGGAGAAGGAGAAGGAGAAGGAGAAGGAGAAGGAGAAGGAGAAGGAGAAGGAGAAGGAGAAGGAGAAGGAGAAGGAGAAGGAGAAGGAGAAGGAGAAGGAGAAGGAGAAGGAGAAGGAGAAGGAGAAGGAGAAGGAGAAGGAGAAGGAGAAGGAGAAGGAGAAGGAGAAGGAGAAGGAGAAGGAGAAGGAGAAGGAGAAGGAGAAGGAGAAGGAGAAGGAGAAGGAGAAGGAGAAGGAGAAGGAGAAGGAGAAGGAGAAGGAGAAGGAGAAGGAGAAGGAGAAGGAGAAGGAGAAGGAGAAGGAGAAGGAGAAGGAGAAGGAGAAGGAGAAGGAGAAGGAGAAGGAGAAGGAGAAGGAGAAGGAGAAGGAGAAGGAGAAGGAGAAGGAGAAGGAGAAGGAGAAGGAGAAGGAGAAGGAGAAGGAGAAGGAGAAGGAGAAGGAGAAGGAGAAGGAGAAGGAGAAGGAGAAGGAGAAGGAGAAGGAGAAGGAGAAGGAGAAGGAGAAGGAGAAGGAGAAGGAGAAGGACAAGGACAAGGACAAGGACAAGGACAAGGACAAGGACAAGGACAAGGACAAGGAGAAAGACAAGGAGAAGGACAAGAACAAAGACAAGGAGACAAGGACAAGGACAAGGAGACAAGGCCAAGGACAAGGAGACAAGGACAAGGACAAGGAGACAAGGCCAAGGACAAGGAGACAAGGACAAGGAGACAAGGACAAGGAGACAAGGACAAGGAGACAAGGAAAAGGAGACAAGGACAAGGAGACAAGGACAAGGACAAGGACAAGGAGACAAGGACAAGAGACAAGGAAAAGGAGACAAGGACAAGGAGACAAGGACAAGGAGACAAGGAGATAAGGAGACAAGGAGACAAGGAGACAAGGAGACAAGGAGACAATGAGACAATGAGACAAGGAGACAAGGACAAGGAGACAAAGACAATGAAACAAGGACAATGACAAGGAGACAAGCTAGGTGACAAGGACAAGGAGAAAAGGACAAATAGACAAGGCCAGGGCAAGTACACAAGGAGACAAGGACACAAGGACACAAGGACACAAGGACACAAGGACACAAGGACACAAGGACACAAGGACACAAGGACACAAGGACACAAGGACACAAGGACACAAGGACACAAGGATACAATGACACAAGGAGACACGGAGACAAGGAGACAAGGACACAAGGAGACAATGACACAAGGAGACAAGGAGACAAGGACACAAGGAGACAAGGAGACAAAGAGACAAGGACACAAGGACACAAGGACACAAGGACACAAGGACACAAGGACACAAGGACACAAGGAGACAAGGACACAAGGAGACAAGGACACAAGGAGACAAGGAGACAATGAAACAAGGAGACAAGGAGAAGGAAAAGGAGATCAAATGAGGTTATTCTCTTGCCGACACATGAACACAAAGTGCACATCTCTCAGTAACACTTCTACTAATACTTATAGCTATAATCTATATAGAACTAGTAACATGGTCGCCTTTCATCCGTTTACGAATACGTTTATGATACCGCGTGTTTCGGGATTTTCCGTGAGGCCGGGATTAAAACTGATTACGCGTACGATTTATTTAACTAGCAAGCCGTCGGCTAGAGAATAACAACAATTTGATATGATACTCCGTCTCCGTCTCCGTCTCCGTCTCCGTCTCCGTCTCCGTCTCCGTCTCCGTCTCCGTCTCCGTCTCCGTC